GATTTTTTAATATTGTATTCTCACTGTTGCTTACTGATTGGCCAGAACCTTCACATCCCTGGCGACGTAACTTTTCTAGTTCAATTTCCTTTTCTAACTGGGTTATGCGTAACCTAGCTAACTCTAGTTCTATCATACTATTATCTTTGGGTTCGTTCTTTTCAAGTTGATCCTCGTCATAAACTCCCAAATGATGGGGTGATAACTCTGGAATCTTATCGGAATCGTAGTATTTAATGGAGGTCATTTCAGTAGGTATATTAAAAATTACTGTTCGAAACTTTGTAGGAAACAATTTCCTACAGGTTAACTAAGCTATTCTCTAAACTGTCGAATACAGAGTCTTGCTTTAGCCAAAGTCAGAACAAGTAAGCTATTTGGCCTGATAAACTTTATCTTTTTCTAAAACAATAAATTACACACCGTTAGTATACAAAATAAACTGTACAGTCTATTAACGTAGGGAAAACAGAGACATGATTAACATATCGAACAGTAATAAGAGAATAGGAAAAAATGAGTCAACAAAGCGAATATTGTTTCAAAATGAACATAAAATTATGATTGATGGATAGAAAAAAGGATAGTCATACAAGGTCAAGGAAAGTTAACGTGAAGGTGCGCGTTTCACCTTATCATTGGTGCGTTCATTTATCGATCATATTTTACAGAAGTTCTCAGACTTAATGAATAAAATCTAATTGAAATACATGAAAGCAATTTATTTGTGTGAATTATGAATCATCAGTTAGGATGTAGAAACTTTTCTTTGCATTAAATTAATGTTGAACTATGTTGAACATGACATGTAACATGGGATTTATTAAGATTCTGGGCATTTTTCATATATGGCTATTTTGTTATCAATAATCAAATGGATGTACAAATCGATATATAAATGAAGGTATTTTCGACATTGTCGTGTTTTCGAGTGAATGGATCTTCACTCGTTCCAGTCGGCTTTGTTCCTATTCCGTGTCATGTAAATTGTAGTGGTTCCTCGTTTCAACTATAAGTGATAGGCAACGAGAATGCAACAAACCGTATCTCGTAATCTCTGACGGACTGATAAATCTAGGGAAAATGCTTCTCGATTAAAATCAGCTTGATCAAATCTATGCAATATGAATTGATTCGAAATAGTTCTCTTTTGTGAAGAAGATACAGATGGATGATGAGGAGAAGGAAGATAAAAATCTTACAATAGGTTCTAGTTAGACCTTTTCTGATGAAATCATTTTCTCACTCAACGTACCACAGAAGTTGCTTGTTAGTCAGCATCATGATTCAATAGAATTCCTAAGTCTGTTTAATGCCACCCATCCTTGGTAGTTAGTTTTCCACTCAACTTTTGTCTTAAGGGGTCAAACTTTTAAGAAATCATCTCTCTTGTTGATAACAGTACATCGAGATGTGAAATTTATAGGCAGGAAAAATTCACAAATCGAATATTTTGACTCGTGTTTATGCAGTGGAAAAAAACTCCCGTTTTGTTTACCACAATTTCTATGGAAGTATTTTTGACCCAAAAACTGCAAGCAGTGGCTTATGGTCTGTTAATAGGGTGAAATTTCGACCATATAACATCTTGTGGAATTTTTTTACTGCAAAGATAATTGATAGGGCTTCCTTCTCAATTTGACTATAGTTTCTTTCGGTCGTTGTCAAAGATCTGGCAGCGTGTGAGATAGCTTTTTCAGACCCATCAGGCATGATATGCGAAATGCTTGCTCCAATGCCGTAGTTTGAAGCATCTGATGCCACTACAATAGGTAGGGATGGGTCATAGTGGGTCAACGACAGATCCGAGAGTAGCAGTTTCTTGATCTTCTCGAAAGCAGTTTGACAACTTTTAGACCAACACCACTTTGCGTTCTTTGTTAAAAGACTATTTAATGGGGCACGTAAACGATGAAGGTCAGGGATAAAAGCTCCATAATGACTCACTAGCCCCAAAAAGGATCGAAGTGTGGGAACATCTGTCGGTCTCGGCATTGCTTTCAAAGCTTGAGTGTTCTCTGGATCTGGTTTTCTCCCGTCCTTATCAATGATAAAACCGAGGTAGCGTACTCTCTCCATGCAAAAGTCACATTTTTCTTCACGAAGCCGGAATCCATATTCAGCTATTCTCGATAGCACCCGGTCGAGCTTCTTTTCTAGGTCTATTCTGTCAATGCCCATAATTATTATGTCATCCAGATAAGCTGCAACACCAGGGAGATCATGTAGCATAGTATCCATCACCTGTTGAAATATGGAGGGGGCCGTTTTGACTCCAAAAGGTAACCGATTATATCGGAATAGGCCCTTGTGAGTGTTTATAGTAAGCAGATCTTTACTTTCATCCGCGACAGGAATCTGCAAGTAAGCTTCTGATAAATCCAGTTTTGCAAACACCTTGCCTCCATTCAGCTTAGCAAAAAGATCCTCAGGTATAGGCAAAGGATACTGGTGGGGTTCTAGCGCATCATTCAGTCCAGTAGAGTAATCTGCGCATAGACGGACACTGCCGTTTGACTTCTTGACCACCACAATCGGTGCAGCCCAATTGGAGAAACTCACAGGTTCAATGACACCCATTTTTTGAAGCCGTTCTAGTTCCTGTTCAACTACTGGGAGAGAAGCATAAGGTACAGGTCTTTTTGGTCGAAAAACAGGAATAGATGTTGACTTGAGAGTCAGTAGTGCTTTGGCTTTCGTGCATTCGCCCAATCCTTCTGAAAACACGTGATGATGCCTTTTTATAATGGCATTTCTCTGACTTGACTCTAAAGGGTTATTGATTCTGACTTGGCTGCAGATATTGTTGAGAGGATGATCTGCTAATTTTAATGCATCTATTAGATCCAACCCCAATAAATCGAGTTCCGGGTTCTTGGTTAAATAAACAGTTGCACTCGTTGTTGCCTCATTTTTCGAAACATTGCACGTTATTTCCCCAACAATATTAAGCTTACCTCCAGATGCGCTGTGCGCTAGTTGCTTCGTTTGGTGAACTGTAGGTCTCCCAATTTTCTCCCAAGTTTTTGGACTGATTAGGGTGATATCAGATGCTGTGTCAAGTTGAAGACGGACACGGTGTGCATTCATGTCCACGGTCACGTACTTTCTTCGGCGGTGAATTCTTGTCTGGTTATGAGATACTAATATTTTGTTCGTTTTCTTACCAGATCTGTATTTCTTGGAATAGACTTGTGAAGAGTAACGTCTGCGAGTTTTATTTCTACATCTGGTTTCTTTGTGACCCTTTTTGTGACATTTAGTGCAGAAATATTCTTTGTATGGACAAAACTTCTTGTAATGCCAACCTCCACATGACCAGCAAGGAGATGAGGGCTGATTGTCTGTGCTGTATGGTTTTTGTGAGCCGGAGTCTTTCTTTTCACTAACAGCATGCACGTATGACGGCCGGCTATTGTTCTCGACCATGGAGGTATCATGTTTCAAATTTACTAATCTCTGACACTCTGCAGTTATTTCTTGTAGTGAGATGTTTGGACACTGATCAATTTTGCTTAAGATTCTGGTTCTTATATCAGCATCTTCGGGAGATTGTAGGCTACACACAAACACGAGGCACTTAAACTGGTCTTCCGTCATTGATGACAGTTTGAATCGTTCACATTCACGGTTTATTACGCCGGCATGTTTTACCCAATCATCCTCACTTGACTTCGTTATTTTGAGGCATTGATAACGAATATTAAAGAGAGATGATTGTTCAGCGAAGATTTGCGTCAGAGTTTCGATTGTTGCATCAAAAGAGAAATCTCTTGGATTCTTTGGGAGGATGAAATTACTATAACGTTCATGTTCAATCGTGCCAAGCTTTCTCAAGAGTATTCTGACCTTTGCAGCGTCATCCAGTTTGTTGAGGTCTACCTTGAACAAATCTTCATACTTCTTGAACCAAGACTCGAAAGTCACACCAGCTAGGCCATCAAAGTGAAATTCCTGAATGGAATTAATTATCGAGTCTGTATGCGTATTACATGAATCATCAGTAAAATCTCTGTTATTCAGATTCATTTGTTTCGCTAACATCTCCAACATACGCTCCTGGAACTGTTCATATCGTTTTTCTTGACGTTCCAGCAAAGATTCTATTTGTTTAAAGGTAATTGGCATTGTTGATTGTAAAACCCGTCGCCACTGTTAAGTTCTCTACTCGAATACGCACGAAAAGACTCTATAACGGATGACACTCGAACGTTATAACCTCCAATCGCTCTCAAGTAAGAAGACGAAAGACGTTTGTGAGCACTTATTGACAAGAATCAAAATATACAATCAAACATGAGTATTTATACAAAATTATATACATAATCAATATTGTCATTTAAAAATTCTTAAACATTCATCAATAAGTTAATCAATTGACTGCTATTCAAATACTTAACATCTGATCGATAAATTAATCGATAACTTAGTCAATCGACTATGTACGTGGGTGGCTTCTCGGTGGTCATCCCAACAGTTTGTCGATTGGATCAAGAACAGACCTAAATTAGAGAACCTCTGAAGACCTGGAAGCACCAAGCAACTGTTTTGCTCTAGTATGTGCATTTATGACCACCCTGGGGATCGAGCTCAATACATTAGACCTCGCTGCAAGCATTTAAACTTTAGATCAATTAACCTGTGTCCAATGATGAAGATCACTAACTTCAAGCAATTAACGATATTGCGTTACGATCTTCAATTGTTTCTCATGAGTACTTTCCTCACACACGACATGCACTGGACTTCGATGGTCACAATAAAAGTGTGAATACGTGATCAAATGAAATGTGGAGCATAATACAAATTATTTGATGAATACTTGGTCATTTTTAGACCTCTAGAATCGATCCACAACAACAACAACTGTCCATAATACTCAGTCAATATGATCTTTTACATTATCTATTTTGTAGTACAATTACTACCACAGTGCATAACCGGGGTTGCTTATTTCAATACATTCTTTTCAATTTGTTTATTTCTAATGTTGTACACAGGGATGAGGTTCATCTTCAAACTCTCGTTCAAATGATGAACGGTACCGGATTGGAATGCGAAAGACAGTCAATAATCTTCTATTTCAATTCGCAGATACAATCAATTGACGTATTTAATAAAACGGGGAATATAGACGATATAACATTGAAAACCCCTTTAAATCCAGTATCCAAATCGATTCAGTTCACAGTAAGCTTGTGTGTTTTGTTGCATATTGAAGTTAAATCATAAAATTTCACAGATTCGAAAATGGTAAACGTAAACTGTATTGAACGAAAGGAACGTAAGGCATTGAATTAGTTCAAAAGTGAAAATAGTCTGCTTCTGATCGTTGTGATTTGTTTCCAATCTTTGATAACATTCATCTCATTTGAAATGAATTTACTCAAGATTTGCAAACAGCTTTTCAACTTTTTTACATGAACCGAATTCCATTTTAGGAAATAATTTCACATAAAATGAATAAGTGGTTGGTCTTTATAGATGTATATTCAAGTTTTCCAATTATATGGAAGTGAAGTGTCATTTACATTTCAAAATGTAGTATTCTTGTGAGTTAGATAACCAACTTTTCAGACTTGAAATGACCAGTCAGATTTCCACTAGAAAAATTATTGCTTAAAGTAAACATTCTGTTGTGGTTATCGATTTTTAATAACCACCTGGATAACTGTCATCCATAAAATTCCGTAACGGGGTATTGCTTCCAAAAGGGAAATAATAAGTTTATTGCAATAGCTTATTTCAGGCAAACCTCAAATAGAACAACTCATAAGCACAAGGCGAGTAAGATGAATTAATGAGTGTTGCTTAACAAGCCACTATATATGTATATGTATGCAAAGATTCAAGAGATTTAAGCAATTATAATTAAGGCGGATAAGAGGAGTAGGTGAGGAGGTTTTCAAAAGCGGTCAGTCATAAATGTTACCTTATACAAGCATGAACACATATATTTATAAGAGAATTATTACGGGCTTAAATAACAGTCTGTATATGAAATAGGTTAATTGAAGGGCTTGGTAAATTTGATCATGGTCAAAGCGATAATATTTTTAAAGCCGAACCCAGCTTCGATTCAATATGAACATTCGATATATCGTGTTTGACAATCATCAATAGAAATCCTACTATAATGTTCTTTGTCTGTTGTTAGCTGAACTTATTTGACATTTTAGGAAAACCAATGTACTACAGAGTTACATGTCAGTTTTAAATCATTTGTACTGTTTTAAAACCGAAGCTGTAGTCTTTGTATTCTTAAGTTATTTCAAATAGTAATATAAAATCGAATTGTTTATATTCAGTAGTGAGATTCACAATTATTGACTTAACCTTATTGTAGGCAGTTCATTTTCAAGACACTTGATAGACTGATATATGTGTAGTTCTTTTAACGTTAGTTTAGACTTGTGGTTGAGTTGATAAAAAATTGTCAACTTTTTCAAATCATTTGAACTACTTATATACGTTCCATTTTTTCGAAAACAACACTTGTTAGTCATCAAATTTTTTTATTTCTCTATTTAGACCGGTCATTTATACTTTGGTCAAGGCTATGCAGCTATCTTTCGATTGAAATTTCAATCACCTCGTACATCTGTTGCGAAATACCCAGTTCTAGTCGAAGTTGTTTGTAAACCGTATGAACGTAACATTTCTGTCTTTAGTGGCTGTGTAAGATCAAAATTTTATAAATTTAGATCTCATATACATGTGGAACTTGACCACCATACATACTCATGTGAGTTTTATTTGTGTATATTAGTCAAAAACTATTTATGGCTATCGATTTATGAATGCAACATGGTAAATAAGTTTATGTCATAATTTATTCACCAGTTTATGAATAAAATTCACTTTTTGATGACTGTTTCACATCTTTCTTTTTGACCGAAAGCAATCTAACAACTATGATGAGAACAGCATAACCCAACTTGATTTTAAAAACCAGTTGTGTTGAAAAATGTATGGATAATTTCTTAGCATGGAAACATACAGTGACAAACTTGTTATTAGAGTGTACTGTAAATAATATGATTGTCAAGATTTATTCATAGTAATTAAGACATTTATCGAAATTGGTTAAGATGGTTTAGAAAAATCGAAATTTCTCACCTTAGGTCAAGGTTGTTGGTTATTCAGGCAAGACAACTATGCGATGCAACATAGTCTGTCCAGGTGATGAGAGTCTCGTCAGTTTACTAGACAGACTGATAATTTTACCACAATTTGTAAATGTTTCCGAATTTTCCACTTTTGGTAAGAATTTCCTATAACTGAGTGCTGTAATGCCACCAATAGTCAACTGACTGAAGGTACTATAATATCAGGACAGGAACAATTTACTTATGCAAAGATGAAGGTCAGACATAAAATCAAATGCATTTGGACAAAATTTTAAATATTCTCGAAACATTCTGTGCACTGCAAGTACGGTTTATTTTTGCTTGAACTTCTTCTGGTCTAGTTATCTATGAATTGAATAGTAAATAACATTCTGGATATTCTAATTATAGTGAAATACTTAGCATCTCGGAGGTTCAAACAAGATTGCAAATCTACGATCGTCGTGTATTTATGTCAATGATGACCAGTATCAATAATGAATGTTAATATGGCATAACGTTAGTTGCATAACTCTTAAGCACATGGTACCAACCAACTTATAATATCAATAGTAATAAAGTCCGAATAAAATATACACATCAAAATCCATTAATTTGTTATTTACAAGTTTACAATATATTAGCACAATGCATTCTGAACAGTTTAAACGTAAATTACCTTGTTAATAGGAGGAAAGTGATATGGAATAACCGAGATAATTAAAAAGACAATAGTCACGCTACTTTAGAAAGTAAATTAAAACTAATCTTTTTATGGTAGGTTTAATATCGACACAGCAGCCTGATTTTGAACAGTTAAGGGAGGAAAGGAGGTTTAACTTTCTCATGGTTGAATATACACACTTGAGTACTTCTATAAAACACTACAAAGGTGAATTCTAAATAAATTTACTATCTTTCACTGAATAATGGGTTGATGTACACATCCCCTTTTAAGTGAGTAGTTTTGGACATGTCATAGGACTATCATGTGTTAATGAATGTTATTGAGTATCCTTTTCATATAATTGTTCATCGATGAGTTTTGTTTCATCTCCGACAGTACCGTTCATGCATATTAAGGCTAATCATATGAAATGGACCAGTAATAAATGTCAAATTATGATGCTGTGGTAGATAATAATCATTAATCTTGATGTAAACTTCTGTATTCAGATCCATGTGATTTGCCTCATTACAAGGCATTGCGGAATCCTGCTGTGCCGTTGCCTAGTCATCAGTCAGATACATTCCTAAATGTTCATGATCGTCTGTTTTATTGTGGACGTGCATTTAATATGAAGGGGTCATTTGATTTGGAGAGACGTTGCTTCATGATTAGCAAATTACCTGACAGAAAATGGATAGGTAGGTTATCATAGATATTTCAGTCATGTTATTAGTCGAATGCTATTATTTACAGTTGAAAGACTAAGTTTATTCAGAGATTCGTTTTAATAGTATTCATGTTGAAAGAAATACTTACTTACTTACGCCTGTTACTCCCAATGGAGCATAGGCCGCCAACCAGCATTCTCCAACCCACTCTGTCCTGGGTCTTCTTTTCTAGTCCCATCCAATTCTTTTTCTCATGTTTATCTCCATTTCCCGGTGTAATGTGTTCTTTGGTCTTTCTCTCCTCCGTTGGTCTTGAAGATTCCACGTGAGGGCTTGCCTTGTGACGCCGTTGCGTGCTTTCCTCAAAGTGTATCCTATCCATTTCCAGGGCTTCTTCCTGATTTCTTCCTCCGCTGGAATCTGATTTGTTTTATACCACAGTATCTGGCCAACCGATCCGAAGTATTTTGCTTAGACAAAAGTTAGTAAGAACTTGTATCTTCTGGATAATGGCTTTCGTTTTTCCCCAGCACGCAAGCAAAAGTTCTATAATACCTTACCTAGCAAATGTAATCTGTGACGAACAGGTTGTTCGAGTTAACCTAGTCAATAATCTGCATTCTTAACATGACTCTAATTGAAAAGTTGTACAGTTTTTTTTCAGATTTTTTTTAACCGTTTTTTTTTCTTTTGTTCTGTAAAAGAAACTTGTTGAAATATTTTTGCGCTGAGAATTCTATATTGTACCAAAATATAATATTGAATAAAGCCATAAATAAATAAAAAATTGCCCAACCCTCCTATTTTATTCGAGCTTCAGAACAGCCGTAGCCCCCGGAGGGACTCCAGGCGGAGTTGTCGAAAGAAATACATTACAACTAAAAGCTTGACTTATTGAATCGCTCCAAATTATGCGTATTACATGATCGTTTTCACCATAATATTAGCCAGCATTAATTAATAAATAAATAACTATATATACAACACCCAGTTGTTTAGAATCGAAATATATTACCTTCTCGATTGTCTAAAGACATTTCAGCATTGCAAGATGATTGAAACTAATAAATAGAAGGATGCTTCTTCGTTAGAATTAAAGAAATCCCCCTTTCTAAGCAGAAAACCATTTCATTACTTCTGTGGTCCTTCTTGTGTTAGCTAATGTTGAATATACTGGATATGCGAACTACTTTAGTTCAACCAAAGTTCAAACTAAACAATCATACTGATATTAATTTTGTTTGAAATATACATATTTAGACTTTTCAAACTTATCATTTGGTTATTAATGAACAACCACAATTTCATCATCCACAACGCTTACTAAACATCACATGGGGCTGTAGCCAATATTCGAACTTCCACAAAATTGCCTGCGAATTCAGTAACTGATTACATAATATCTGACCACTCAACGTAATGACATATTACTCTGATAAAAGCGAGAAATAGTTATCCTAGTGAAATTTTATTATGTTACTTATGAATACAAAATATGAGGCACTAACATTCAACTCCACAAGCTTAAACGTTGTGTAAATGAATATGATTTCCAAATTGATTCTGGCTTTTGGAGAAAAGAGCTTCAGTTATAAATGATTTTCGACTTGTGTGTTAACATTGAAGTTATTTCAAATTTCACTGATTGTAGATATTCATAGTACAAATTTACAAGAAACTTATTCATTAAACATTCTACTCAGTAATACTCTGATACAAATAATGGAAATCGTATTACACCTATCTTTTAATTTCTAGACATGGGACCATTTGTTGAACAGATCATAGCATATACAAATCCAATTGGCATATTGTTCGGTTTGGGAGCAAATGGTGGAGGTGTAGTGATGAGTAAGAACTTTGGAAAAACATGGATTTCAATCAACCCATTCATGTATCAAAACACTTTGAATACGTCGACTGAAATCATCACAGCAAGTGACGTACCATGGATTTCATTGACTGGATCAATTGACAATACACTATTTGAGTCCTTTTGCAAGATGCGAGTGGCTGAACAATGGAATGGTAAGGGATATGGAGTTACGAATTTCAGCGAATTTATCGTCGTTCTGTTTAATTGACTGTACAAACATAAACTAAAACTTGAAACGAATAAACTGATATTGCATTAGTCAGAGTAGAGTAAGATAACTGAAATATTTTGCTTTTATAGTTAAAGGTGCTAGAAGGATTAAGTGAAACAAATGTAAGATAACACTATGAATAATTTGGTAAAAATTTGACATATGTGAAATGAAAATTAGATAATTACAATGAGTTAATGATATTGACAGATATAATTAGTATGTACCAGGAACTGGAAGTAGGGTCCTTACTGACAGGAGAGAAAGATGAATGGCAAAGAAGGAAAAACAAAAACAGCTGGAGTAGTAACAGGAATGAAAGAACAAAAAAGACTGTAAAAAATAATCCAAGGAAGATGTGCAAATGGTGTATTCAATGAAATGTTTTACAAATCGCTTTACAAATAAATGCAATGTGTGTATTTCTTTCTTGGTAAACAGTATTGCTCACACTGTCAGTAATGCAGTTCGTCGTACTTCCCATCTTTTTATGTCGCTATTCGAGTCAAATTCTATAGTTAAGTTTGATAACTGAATGATGACGCACTTTTGTAATCTACAAACACAAGTGATATAATTCTCAAATTTCCATTGTTTATACAGCTTGAGATTCATTCACTCTTTTAAAATTAAATTGGTAGATGTTTATAAACAGTGTTTATCCATTAGATAATCTAGTTAGTTTATTAAGCATAGAAGAAAATCAGTGGCATTGGTACAAACATGGTATAGTGTATAAACACAAATGACAAATGTTTAATATTTGTGATAATGAACAAACAAATATAAATGTTCACTTAAACAGCCTAATTAAATAGAATTTTGATGATTTGGATATAAAGTTTGTCCAATACAAAGAATGCATAACTTGGAGATCAGTAAGTGAGTCTCATACTTGATTACGTTCAGCACAGTATAATCTTACTTGTTTTCATATAATTTACCTTTAGTTTGCATCAACCAAATCTATGCCAACCAAATGCTGTTAGCTAATTGGACTTACACATGCCCGAAAATCAAGCTGTTTTAACCAATCAGTTATCTGGACCGGAAATACGAACATAACTTAAACACTGGTGAACTTGAGTCGTGTAAAATCCAGGTTGTATACGATTATGTATTTGTCAGCGAATTTCTATTCAAACTGTTATCTCATTATTCATCGAACAATTTACCTATTTTTAATCAACTATATGCTTGTGAAACTTCAATTTCTTTTGCTTTGATGAAAACGAACATCATTTGAGTACCAAAACAGTTGAAAATCAAGACATTTGGTCAGTTACTCGCCAATTTTAGAAGAGAATTTCGAAGGGTGTTCGGTATCAGTGAATAGTTTGTTAAATTTTAAAGTTCATGATGATGTAATGTAAAGCCTTGTAAAAGTGCAAAGTAAAATGACTCCACGATTGATGGTAGGCCTAGATTAGATCCTTTGTCGTGGAATGACGGCACAAAATCCATGCATTTGAGTAAATGCTTTACTTAATGAGTGAAGACTTATTATTATTATTGTTATTATTTTTATTATACTGTTTTAAAGTCACTATAATTACAAAAAGAAAAGTGTTATACGTTTTTCCATTCTAAGTGGTTGCAAGAGAGACATCCAAATGTGAAACATATGTAAGTGCTAGTTATTGACCATGTTAGATCAAACTGAAAACTTGTAAAGGTACGTGATTGTAAAGTCACTGAAAATAATGACAGACGAACAATCTCATTTAATAGTTAACGACAATTCTACAGACCTCGAGTTTATATCTCTTGTTGAAATCGTTGGGATAAATTGTTAAAAAAGTAATGTGGATGTCAGATGTATATTCATATTGAAAATTGGTGCTTCTAACGGGTTTTTATCATAACCAAACTAACCTCACCTAATGAAAAAACATTTGATTTCAGAGTTACAAGTCAACTGATTTTATATCGTCTGGAAAATATTTTCATTAAGGTTAAGCAAAGTTCATTACTACTGTAAAGTCATTTCAATGGATCGATTGGTCTCCGTGCTCAGGTATTATTGAATTCAAAACTTATAACCATGCAGGCGGAAGCATTATCTTGTCAACATTGCGAATTGCGTATGATCCAGGATCTGAAATAATTTGGGATTGCTTGAAATGAACCGAGGATTGGCTCTAAATGTACAATCACTAGATAAAAGACAAAATCTGACGAAATTCATGTTGATACCCACTACTTGTTATTAAAAGCATTTATTGTCCAGAATTCCACTCTTTGTGAAGAATGAGTCTCTCAGAAGTTATGAAATTCGGTTGTGAATGCATGTTAATTTCTCACATTCTCGACGATTTTTGAACTAGAATATGGAGTATGGGAAGCTTTCGATCAATTAGTTTGTGTATCCGTCTAAAAGAATAATAAGTTTGAACGGGCGAAGAGCGTAAGAACCAACTCGTCCTTTGGAAATGTAAGAATCTAAATTTCTCACAAACTCAAAGTAAGAGCTTGGAAAACTGATAAAATTTGATGGAAACTTCATTGTCCAAGATTATATATTATTCATTCCGAAGCCTCTAATATGAGCTTAGCACGAAATTTATTGGGTTATGGTTTGCGTATGTATTTCGTTTAAGGAAGTTGTAGGAAACAATTTCCTACAGGTTAACTAAGCTATTCTCTAAACTGTCGAATACAGAGTCTTGCTTTAGCCAAAGTCAGAACAAGTAAGCTATTTGGCCTGATAAACTTTATCTGTTTCTAAAACAATAAATTACACACCGTTAGTATACAAAATAAACAGTACAGTCTATTAACGTAGGGAAAACAGAGACATGATTAACGTACCGAACAGTAATCAGAGAATAGGAAAAATGAGTCAACAAAGCGAATATTGTTTCATAATGAACATAAAATTATGATTGGTGGATAGAAAAAGGTATAGTCATACAAGGTCAAAGAAAGTTAACGTGGTGGTGGGCGTTTCACCTTATCATTGGTGTGTTCATTTATCGATCACATTTTACACTCCCCCCGAAACGCGCACCACGTCCATTGTTCTGGGTCGTCGTCGCCATAGATAGCCGGCTTTTTCTAGTAGATATAAGCTTCGTACGTCTCGAACAATTTCTTCGTTTGCGGTTCTCAACTTCGCCGTACGAACTCGACCGTCAGAACCATAGCTTACTTGTTCAACAATAGCTTTAGGCCATAGACCTCTACTCGTTTCGACGCTACTAACAAGAACTGGGCCACCCGGTTGTAAGTTTTTGTGTACGTTCAACCATTTGTCTCTTGTTTGGAGAGTCGGTAAATATTCTCTCATCCGTCTATTCCAGAATGCGGTAGCTAATCTTTGAGCTTCTTTCCATCTTTTATTATATAATAACGTCTTATCCACCGAAGCACCGTCGAATGATAATCCTTTATAAATCAACAACTTATTCCAAGTAAGAGCCTCTAGGATAACTGGATCGTCTGTCATTTTAACTAGAGGTCTATTATTTAGTATCCTTCCTGCCTCGGTCAAGAACGTTTGTAGAGCTCCATCGATCAACACGTTTTGAAATAAAGGCACTCTTGGAATTCTTTTAATTGATCTTATGATGTGTTCCCGCACACCACAACCTCTCTCAAAAAGGACATTTGCTATCTTATTCTGATTGCAACTACACTTGATCTGTCTGAGAATAGTATTGGTTCCTGTAAAGCTACCAGATGAACCCTTAGTCTTATTCACAACTCGTACAAGAGCGCCTTTCTCGACACCATCCTCGATACCACGGCGAATATGTGCTGTATGCTTCTTCAGAGTCTTAGTTACTGGTTTCTTTGTTACAGTGGCCTTCGGTCTTTTTGTAGTCTTGACTTTCAGTTTGGTGTCCGTCTCTTCCTTAGGCTTTCCTAGAGTTGATTCGGGTTTATTAGCACATAGTGCTTCACTTTTTGGCTTAAAAACCTTGTACTTGCTTAATAAAAAGGAGCAATGAACTTGACGAGAGACATTTTCGGAACGAGCATACTCCGCAACACCACATGCAGATTCTGAGGCATCGGTGGAGCAATGAGTCTGACTAGCCAGTGGTTTGTACGATTCTGGTGACGCTATGCGATCTTCCACAGATATCGATGAAGTACGACTAAATGGGTCTTTGAATTCAGTTGAATGCAATTGTTCAAACTTATCTTCTAATTCCTCCTTAGCCGAGAGGTAATTCGGTACACAGTTGCTTGCACGGGGTTCTCTGTAAGAGCCGAACAGCGTCCAACCCAATATAGTCCTCACAGCAGACGGTTCATTCGTCTTTCCGGTTCTTATCTCTTTCATCTCATGTATGCCCGGTGCATTGCACCCAATCAACAGTTTGACGTTCTCATCTTCTACTCTCGGAAAACTTATGTCTTTTAGATGGGGCCAGGATGCCATTTGATGCGCCGTTGGTACAGTCCTGTAAACTGCCGGCAATTTGTTGACTGTCAATACTTTCTGGACCTTAACGGATGAAGAAAAATCCATCGAGTGCAACTCTATATCGACTTCTTTGGATACCAACGACGATTCATCACTAAGAGTCTTTAAAGATACCGTTTTCGGTTTCCCTTCGAGGCCTAACTTATCAGCTAGATCACCAACTATGAGGGAGGTGTCTGACCCGCTATCTAAAAGGCGCAAGTCTGAATAATCTTCTCACCATTTTTTATCCACACAGGCACTACTGCAAATGCTACTGGTCTCTGTATACACTTAACGCCTTCCTCCGTACAAAGCTGAGTATTAATGCAGGCATCACCATTAGTATTTCTTTGTTCTTCCTGCTTCTCGTGTAACAGAGTATGGTGTCTCCAGCCGCACCCTTCAACATCACACGACTTCGGTGATCGACAATTTTTCGCTACGTGGTTTGCCTTCAGACAAACATTACATAACTTGTGTCTAAGGACGAATTCTTTCCTTTCTCTAACATTCTTGTCTTTAAACTTTTGACATTGATCTAAAGAATGATTACTTGAGCACTCCAAACAGGACAAACTACGTAAGACAACATTGTCATCACTAGTACTCGCGTAAGATATCCTTGCTGCATTGTAATCTCCGCTAATTCTCCCTTTTAAAACACCAACATCTCTATTGTCACTATTACTACCGCGATTGACAAGTAGGCCGTATCTAGTATTAGCTATATCAGCTTGTTCCTTTACAAACTCAACAAGATCGGCAAACACAGGCTCTCGACCTCCTCTGATAATCTTATAAGCTACCTTTAGCCATTCTTGTTGAATGTGCGTTGGTAATTTCAGAACCATAGTTTCGATAGTTCTAGAAGAGTTCAAATCAGAAACGTAATTCATCTGTTCGAGAGTCAAACCACATGCTTGCATTTCTCGAGACAGTCTTCTCAAACCATCTGGTTGATTCCTTCTTATAATGGGAAAGTTTAGCAAGTTGTCGATAAACGTGCGTGCTATAACGTGTTTTTGGCCAAACGTTTCCTCTAAAAGTTTTAGGGCTTGACGATAACCTATCTCTGGTTCTAGTATAGTACAATGAAGGATAGCGGCTTTCGCTTCTCCGTCGCAATATTGAATCAAGTAATTTAGCTTAGCTCTAAATCCAATACTCTCATTCCCAATGCATTCTTCGAAATTTCTAATGAAATTCCAATAATTTGTCGGTGTACCATCAAATCTTAAGACTTCTCTTTTTGGTAAATACAGGTTTTTTAATATTGTATTCTCACTGTTGCTTACTGATTGGCCAGAACCTTCACATCCCTGGCGACGTAACTTTTCTAGTTCAATTTCCTTTTCTAACTGGGTTATGCGTAACCTAGCTAACTCTAGTTCTATCATACTATTGTCTTTGGGTTCGTTCTTTTCAAGTTGATCCTCGTCATAAACTCCCAAATGATGGGGTGATAACTCTGGAATCTCATCGGAATCGTAGTATTTAATGGAGGTCATTTCAGTAGGTATATTGAAAATTACTGTTCGAAACTTTGTAGGAAACAATTTCCTACAGGTTAACTAAGCTATTCTCTAAACTGTCGAATACAGAGTCTTGCTTTAGCCAAAGTCAGAACAAGTAAGCTATTTGGCCTGATAAACTTTATCTGTTTCTAAAACAATAAATTACACACCGTTAGTATACAAAATAAACAGTACAGTCTATTAACGTAGGGAAAACAGAGACATGATTAACGTACCGAACAGTAATCAGAGAATAGGAAAAATGAGTCAACAAAGCGAATATTGTTTCATAATGAACATAAAATTATGATTGGTGGATAGAAAAAGGTATAGTCATACAAGGTCAAAGAAAGTTAACGTGGTGGTGGGCGTTTCACCTTATCATTGGTGTGTTCATTTATCGATCACATTTTACAGAAGTTCTCAGACTTAATGAATAAAATCTAATTGAAATACATGAAAGCAATTTATTTGTGTGAATTATGAATCATCAGTTAGGATGTAGAATCTTTTCTTTGCATTAAATTAATGTTGAACTATGTTGAACATGACATGTAACATGGGATTTATTAAGATTCTGGGCATTTTTCATATATGGCTATTTTGTTATCAATAATCAAATGGATGTACAAATCGATATATAAATGAAGGTATTTTCGACATTGTCGTGTTTTCGAGTGAATGGATCTTCACTCGTTCCAGTCGGCTTTGTTCCTATTCCGTGTCATGTAAATTGTAGTGGTTCCTCGTTTCAACTATAAGTGATAGGCAACGAGAATGCAACAAACCGTATCTCGTAATCTCTGACGGACTGATAAATCTAGGGAAAATGCTTCTCGATTAAAATCAGCTTGATCAAATCTATGCAATATGAATTGATTCGAAATAGTTCTCTTTTGTGAAGAAGATACAGATGGATGATGAGGAGAAGGAAGATAAAAATCTTACAATAGGTTCTAGTTAGACCTTTTCTGATGAAATCATTTTCTCACTCAACGTACCACAGAAGTTGCTTGTTAGTCAGCATCATGATTCAATAGAATTCCTAAGTCTGTTTAATGCCACCCATCCTTGGTAGTTAGTTTTCCACTCAACTTTTGTCTTAAGGGGTCAAACTTTTAAGAAATCATCTCTCTTGTTGATAACAGTACATCGAGATGTGAAATTTATAGGCAGGAAAAATTCACAAATCGAATATTTTGACTCGTGTTTATGCAGTGGAAAAAAACTCCCGTTTTGTTTACCACAATTTCTATGGAAGTATTGTTTTTCCTTTGTATACTTTGTGAATAATGGACTTATTGTAAAGCTATTTCGGGAACATTATAGTTGATTGTGAGAATCAAATGTCTACATGTTGCAGCTTAATTCAATCCTAATTTTCTTAGTACCATTTAATGGGCTGTTAACGAGAGGTGAATTTTCTAACGCATTATTCAGTTCCTTCATCCTAATGACCAGACTTGATTTAAATTAAATTTCGATTACAAAACTCAAACAAATACCCTGGTTCTTCCTATTCTCAGTCATTTATGACTAACACGGTCAAACATCTAGTAGATTAACTAATCTTCCTTGATTCTGCTTGTCAATAAATTACTTGAAAATGAAAGATTTCATTTAAATGAAGTTTTTATTGAACATTTGGACGAATGAAATTAGTATCCATGAGCTGTGAAGAAGAAATACACATCGACCAAGGTTTCCAATGCAACACATATCCATGATAAAACCCACAAATATTGGTTGGTGTTGAATAGTATAAAACAACACAAAAAAGAGTCGAGGGGAAGTTGATAAGGACGGAGAATGGAAAACAGACTTGACACCAGGTTTAGGGCAATGTACATCGTTCAAAGTCATAGCATATGAATTTAGGATTGTTATGCAAAATAAAATATTTTCATGACTAGTATGCAATGTGAACTTAAATCAGGTTTACGTTAAGTAAAACTATGCGCTTCATAATCTGAATAAATGAGTCAGATTGGGTGAGAGAAATAATAGTGCAATTACAAATTCGATCCAATGTTTACTGGGAGACTACGTTGTGTTAGATGTTTACATGAAATTAGTAAGAAATAGAAAATTGGGATGAATGCAAAGTGAATGAATTGTGTATTCGTGAGATCAATAATGATGTTAAACCGATGATGATGATGATGATGATGATGATGATGATGATGATGATGATGATGATGATGATGATGATACTACTAATAATAATATTTATACAAAGATGTGTCAATAATGATAAGAGACAATTATATTTGACTAAGAAAGGTTGTAAGTACATTAGAAAAATTAGGTCACTCAATAGCTAAGATTAGTATTGATTGATTGGCCCTGAGGTTGGTCAAGATAGGAGAAGCAGTTGAAAATATTTCTCTTGTTAATATAGCTTTATTTATATTTTATTTATTTATTTTAACACATAAGTATTGGTACAAAGACGGACCAAATACATATGCGCCACACAAATCTCAATAGATATGTGTGAGGGCTGTGATACTGCCCGGGTGCCCAAACCGAAGCAGGTGGTTTTATTAGGGGGCCACACCCCGAGCCTTCGACCTGAACGTCTGACCCACAAGGCAGTGGAGCATCGTAAGGAGATGCAGTCCCATGGTAGCCGGTGACCAACGATTGGTTCATACGCCATTTGTTCCCGCAGGATACTGGAGCCCATGTGCACCATTGGTTTGGGGTCCGGTTAAAGCGCCGGACATTCGCTTTTCGTCCTCTCATTTTCGTAAACAACACCCCCGCCACGAGAAGGCAGTGAGTAGGACTTCCCTGGCAGAGGCTGTATACGCATGGCCATGTGAGAGCATTTCGAGAGGGAGAGCGGACTCTCCCCACTCTCGGCCGTACCAGGGCATTTGGGGGCTGTTAATATAGCTACGGTTTCTTAATCCGAATGACTATTGCTTTCGCTGTTTGAAGCATATGTAAAATTTAATTCACTTCAGTTTTAACTAAACATGCAAGAACATTTTCCCCAATTAATATTACTTACTACGTGTTTCTTTTAAATAATCAATTTAAGCCTATATATTAAAATAATCAAATTATGAACATGCATCAACTTGACTTGGTTATCTTTCCCTCTTAAGTGTTGGTTATGTAGGAATCTTCTTCTAAGCTGTCATGTATTTGATAATCTATGTTAAACAATCTAGTGTATGAATGTTTCGGAAGCGTAGATGCAAACAATATAATGATGGATGAGCTTGAAGAAGTCAAAGCAAATTGTCACAAGACGTCGGTTGGTTGAGATTTATGGACAGAGGATTGAGAGAATTGAATACTGGGATAAATTAGAAAAGTGGCTAGAATAAGTGAAGAGGTTTCTAACTGGTGCTGCTATTTTAGTGAACATGAATGTACTAACTTTCTGTTTCCTTATGAGTACTTCATTCGGTTCTCTATATCACACTTCATTTGTACATGAGCTGACATAATAAATTATACGCAATAAATTTAGAGACTTGTGAAATTATATATTGGACAATGTTTCATCGAATGGATTAACATTTACAACGATTCGTTAATTATACAAATGCATCATTGAGGAATAATTTACGTATAAATGTAATACGTTGGTAACCATCTATCGTTAATTCGACTAACGTTAAAGATGACAAATTACTGCTATGGTGTTTTGCCCTGTTAATTGGTGTTTTTCATAGCCATCAAGTTTCACAGTAACAAGTCAAACTAGTCTTTCATCCCCAGTAGCACAAATGACGTGTAGTTCAAAATTATTCATTTTCACCCAATGGATACTGTTTAATAATGAAAATTGAGGCAGTATTAGCCCCGAATATTACTGACAACAATTTCATGATTGTGTCCTTGAACTTTCCGTGTGATTATGATACACTCACTATTCTGAAGTGTCCAAAATCGGTCGATATTTGCATTATTTATAAATATTTAATGGAATATTTCGTTAGTCAAACTCTCTTAGCTGATGTTTCGTACAACATTGGACATACTGATTTTCAGTGGACATTTAGAAATACACATCAATCCATCCAGATATTAAAGCCAGCACGTTACTGTTATGACGGGATGAAAGGTCAAAATTAGATTGATTTACTCATTATGATTTTCACTCAACATTAATTCTGTTTATTATCAGAAGGGGTTTTGTGGAGATTTTAGTAATTTCAATAGTTGAAATCATGAGTCAATTGAAGCTAGACCACAATGGAAAACCTGGAAGCACTGGACGGCCGTTTCGTCCTAATATGGGACTCCTCAGCAGTGCTCTGTTTGATTCAATTTGATGATCATGACATTTTATTCTGTATAACATACGACATACTTGCATGAATTATTTTTCTGACTATTAATCAAACATGAATGCACAAACCAATCTATAACTGAGTGTATTTCCGACTAGACTGGTAGGGATTGCTAGTGCTTCTGGCTGCATGCGGAATATATTTCCCGGTTTCAAACTTCGACTTCTCTCTCTAGTTAGCGGGGCTGGGACGCATCGGAATAGCTAGCTTATTGGTCTTTGGTCACAGAGTCTTTGTTCCGTTCGCACACTAGGTGAACTCGTAATCACTTGAAACATAGCAAATTTGCAAAAAAATATCCGTCATAAGTCAGTATATAGTGAACGTGAACACACGTGGTGACAATCAAATGTATTTAAACGCAAAATCACAGGACATATTAGTAAAATCTGAGAACCATACAGTGAATACTTCATTTGCAAAATGTCAATCAATTTTCCCAAACTTGATTGTTCTTTTTGCAATTATCAGTCAATTGTCTCAGACGTCACTGTTCCTGTTCTTTCCGCCTCGATCTTCTTGAGCTTCTGCTGCCAGACATTATATTTTTTACTAACGTTCTATACTACTAATGTCGATATAAGTAGCACACAACACGAGTAGATTGGAACAACAAGCTCCATCAATCTAGTTGACAAATTACAATTTTGACGTAATTGATTCAAGTTCAGTGAGATGTATTCCACTTAAATCTATAGTTCCGATGGTATTATTGTATTGTGAAACTCTACAAAACCTAAATCTAATATATTATATATTATTTAATAATGTGGGTGGATTATAAACACTGATTATTTTAGCACGTCAACTAGACAATCTATCAATTCTTAACAGAAGTTCGTAGTTGATTGGTCGAATACTGGTGATCTAAACTGAAGAGAGACTACCCTGAATGTGAATAAACATTTAAAGGGGTTCCGATGTCATATTCTGTTGCCTAGATCAGTAGTG